CAGCCCACGTAGAGCGAGGTGCCCAGCTCTCGCTTCTGCGCTTCGATCACCAGCGGGTTGTAGAAATCCCGGATGATGGTGTTGGCCGACCAGCAGACAGGGATGAGGGTCATTACACCAGAGAGGAGGAAGATGACGCCGGAGACGATGGTGATCTTGGCTTTGGTGCTCTCGTCCTCCACGCAGCGGGTGCACTGGGCTCCCACGATGGCCACCATTAAGCCCAGGACGGCCAAGATGATGGCCACCACCAGCAGGGCGCGGGCGGCTTGCAGGTCCTGTGGCAGCGCCAACATGGAGTCGTAGACCTTGCACTGCATCTGCCCCGTGCTCTGCACCACGCAGCTCATCCACAGCCCTTCCCACAGGATCTGCGCCGTCACGATGTTGTTGCCGATGAAGGCCGACACCTTCCACATGGGCAGCGCGCAGCAGATGATGCTGCACAACCAACCCAGCACAGACAAGGCCACGCCGCCAATCTCCAGCCCCATGGACATGGTGGATGGTTCAGTGACGCGCTCCAGCCGATGGCAGAGAAGAAGCCACGGGACCGAGACCGTCGCCAGCAGCACCGCTCGCAGCCGGGGGATCGGCTTTCACCTGTGCGCAGTGTTATTTATACGGGCTGGCCCCGGGGTGGGGTTTCAGTGCTGGCTGCTGGACGCTCCTCTCCGCTCCTCCGTCACCATCACCTGCGTCCCACACCCTCCCCTTTGTTTGCGGAGATGGCGCCGGGTAACCAGAGAAGGGCGGGAGGAGGAGAAACGCCACCTGCCACAGCCATCCTCTGGTTTCGGCCGATGGATATCAGGAAGCGCTACCACCGTGCTCGTTCCCACCAAACCTCTCCTGTGGACCTGGAGATACCAAGGGTTCACCTTTCCCCCGTGGAGGTGCTGGCGGGTCAGGGTGTGTTGATTTCTGTAATGTTGTCAGTGCTCACATTTAACTGCGCTTTGGTGACTGTTGGGCGCCTTTGCATCACCGAATAAAGTGCAGCCATGCCGTGAGGTTTGTGTCACCATTCCGGGGGACCTGCGGGTGCTCCCGACCCAGCAGGAGCCCCTCCAGCCTGGCCCCGCCTGTTCCCACCTTGCTGGGCTGGGAGGGCTGTCAGAGACTCTCTGACGGACTGATAAATATCTTTACTCATCCTGCACAAGTCCTATGACCTTGAAGGAAGCAGATAGTGCACGTAACCACCCGGCAGCATCACCCTGACAACCTGAGCTGGCACCCGGCAAAGGGAAAAACATCCCAAGGCATGAGCAATCCCTTCAGACCTGGCAGCAACAGCCCCGTGGCTGTGGGGTGCGTGTTCCCCCCAGCCTCGCATGCCGGGGGTAGTGCCAGTGTTCCCAGTCCCCCTCCCCCAGGAATGCGGTTGCTGGACACAGGCTTGCTCCTACCTGTTCCCTGCCCGCTCCAAAAATCTCCTCTACAACTTATTAACTACTCAAGAGCGCGGTGGGATGCTGGCAGCTGGCGCCGTGCAGCCAGGATGGGGGGGAGCCCTGCAGCTGCCTGCCTGAACTCCACAAACCCTGACACCCCACAGCCACAGGGCTCAGAGCTGGGCGCCCCCACAGTGTCCCAACAGCCACACGGGGCTGTATTTGGGTGCCCCACAGTGCCCTGGTACCCAGTACTCTGATACCCAGTTCAGCACTCTGAACCCCCATAGCCAGCAGGGTCACCCCACAGCATCCTGATACCCCATATGTGGCTGGGTCAGCTGTTGTCACCCCATGTCACCCCAGCACCCCATATCCCCCCAACTTGACCTCCAGCCCCCTGCAGCACCCCATGTCGAACCTCCACCGTGCCATGGCACCCCCATACCCCCATGTACAGCCTCTGCCAGCCCATGGCATCCCCAAAATACCCTGTACTCGGCTGGGTGAGCTTCTGCCACCTCACTGTACCGTGGCCACCCCTCCGAGGACACCCCAAATCCCCACGGCCAGCTGGGGGGTACCCAGGGGTGCCCCTGTCCGTGCTGCTGGGGGGAGTCCGTGCAAGCAGCCCCCAGGGTTCTGTGCCCTTTGTGCTGGGGGCGCTGGGGGTCCCTCGGGGGCACCTCGGGGGTCCCT